TCAGGGCGCGGTATGCGGTGATGGCCGCCGCTCGGGAGCTCTACCGCACCCGCACACAGAGCCGCCTGGAGCGAAGCAAGACAGGCGTGTCCACTGCCTCCGAGGCGTCCCGCGGCGCACACGGCCGCCCACACAAGTCCAGGTCCTCACACGCACTCGAGAGGCGGCGAAGGAGGATGCTCGCCAGGCGGGGCGCCGACACGCCCACGATGGAGACCGACAGCACCAGCTGCGACGTCTCGCCGGCCGTGCTGGACCCCAGACTGCCCTCCCCCCATCACAACCGCCATGGTGGCCCGTCCAGCAAGCGTGATCGTGCCCCTGTGGTGACGTTCAGCCTGCCTGGGGAGAGCGGCAAAGGCCCTCAGCCCCAACCCCACGCACACACACCCCAGCACCTGGTGCAGGCGACCACGTCCACACCGACCATGCGGCCGTCATGGAAGAAGAAGCAGCAGCAGCAGCAACATGAGAAGCCACCGGTGCCGGTGTCGCCCGTCTCGGCCCCGGGGGTGGTGGTGTCGACGCCCCACAGGCATCGGAAGGTGCCGCTGTTCCGACCGGTCCGTCTGTTCGGCCAGAGCCACACCGAGAATGTTGTTGCCCGCCTGGGCATCATCCTGCCCACTGCGACCCGAAAGTGGGGCGGGGGGCTGAAATGGGGCAGCACCACCGACGGCGGCCAGACACCACCGATCTCACCAGCAGCAGCAGCAGCAGCAGCGGGGGCATCAGCGCCGTTGCAGCCCAGCAGCAGCAGCTCTGCTGCACCCAACCCGCCGCCCATTTCCCTCCTCGGCCATGCGACATCGGACATGCTGCCGCTGATGCAGCCGCGGCTCAACCTGGCGGACCGCTCTGTGGTGTCCAAATACGACCTGGCGATGCCCGATTCCTCGCCCACCCAGACCTACGTGGACCTGGTCCAGGCCCACCACGAGACCACAGACCTCCCTCCCGACCCTGAGGCCGACCCCACCCCGGTCCCACTGCCACCCCGCGTACCCGTGGCGCCATCGCCCCCGTTCAACAACCGGCCGTTCGCGTCCTATCTGCCGCTCAAGACCGGCCCTGGGACCCCCATGGCCCGGCTGGCAAACATGGCGCAGGTGCAGACACCCAAGACGGGCCTCTCCCCCTCCCACTCGCAGATCGTGTCGGTAGCGGGGGACATCTTCCTGACCCCGAGTGCGACGCCGGGCGCGACGCCGCGCGCGATCGGTCTGGGCCCTCTGTCGCGTGTGGACAGCGGCGCGGGCGTGTGCCTCGATGGAGATGGGGAGGTGACGGTGAGGAGGCTGGGGACCCTGGGCCGTCTGCCGCCTGCGCTGCCCGAGAACAACGATGGTGAAGACGCCGACTCGGACAAGAGTGGCGACAACAACAACAACAACGACAGCAACAATGCAGAGAGAGCCGAAGGGGGAGGGGGAGGGGGAGGGGGAGAGGGGGATGCAACCACCAAGTTGCGTCATTCCTCGTCGTCGGCCATCTTCCCCTCCAGCCCCTTCCTCAGTGCCCTGGGCACCCACAGCCCCTCCAGCGCATCACTCTCGGGCAGAGAGCGGCGCAAGGCGAAAGAGCTGATGGCGAGGCGGTCCAAGAGCTTCGCTGGCGAGCCGACTTCCCTCCCTGCCGAGGCCCTCAAGTCGGCCGTGTACCGCTACCAGGAGCAGTTCGGCGTCAGCAGCCCCGCCGCCAGCGGTCTTTTGAGCGTGCCGACGGGTGGGCGTGATGACGAACGGTCGATCCTGAGTGGTGAGGTGGGGGAGTGCAATGAAGGGGTAGCTTAAGCTGGGTGGGGTGGTGTATGGGGTGGGGAGGGTTCGTGGCTTGTGATTGATTAGTAGTGCTGCTGTGCTGCTGGGGTCGGGGGGGAGAGGGCAGGGAGGGCCTGAGGGAGGGTCGGGGGGAGAGGGAGGGAGGGAGGGAGGGAGGGAGGGGAGTGGAGGGAGGGAGCTGTCAATTTTATTGTTGGTTGGTTGGGCTTGAGATCCAGCCATCTATACTCCATATACATCTATATATCTATCTATCTGTGTTGGTGTCTGCCTGCGCATCGCATACATTTATGTGTGCAGCGAGTGAGTGAGTGAGTGAGTGTGTGAGAGTGTGTCCGTAGTGGCCGACCCATCCATCGACCCGACCCCAATACCTACTTACCGACCTATGCCAACCAACGAAGGTCGTGCACACATGTATGTATGTTTGTATGTTTGTATGTGTCGATGCATCCAGCAATCAATATCATCCATCACGCTAGGCAAGGCAAGGCACACAGGCGTCGTTTTTCGGCAACAAGATAGATAGGACTGGCTGGCTGAAGCTGACCAGGTCAGGTGGCTGACTGCCTGCAGCTGCATGCCATGCAGTCGTCCTATTTGCCCCTCCCTCTACACCCCAGCACTGTCTGTCCCATGCGTGTGTGTGTGTGTACGTGAGTTGATCGGGTCTCTCTTCTAAGTATATACCTCACTAACTAAGTTGAGGCAAGGCAAGCCCGGCGCCTCAGTCAGTGAGTGGGAATATACATAACAAACAGGAGACGGGACCATATGTGTGTGTGTGCGTGTGTGTGTGCGTGTATACTTGTTTGTGTACGTGCGCGCCCCATGTGGCGTGCTATCTATGTAACTATGTAATAGTGTGTGCCTGCCTGCCTGCCTGCCTGCCTGCGTATATAGGTATGTGTGTATGATTGAGGAGCGAGCGAGTCATGTCATGTCATGTCATGCATGTCATGTGTGTGCGATTGATTTATAAACACACTGTGTCTGTCGTGTGTGCACTGCATTCATGGCAGGGCAGGATAGGATAGGATGTGTGTCTGCTTACGTCTCTCCATAATTACTCCATGTGTGGATGTGTTGATGTGTGTGCGTGTTCCATCGACGGGTGCATTCGTATGCTTCTTCCCTTCTCCCCTCCTCCCTCCCTCCCTCCCTCCCTCTATTTGGCGGATCTCTCCCCTGCAGCCTGTCTGTGATTTGGTGTGATGTGATGTGGTGTGCGTGTCGGGTGCCGTCTCGTCTCGTCCCCACCGAGCGCACGTACGGTACGGGCACACTGCGGTCGGTGGCGGGGGAGAGATCTGTTGTTTGCAGATTCCTTTCAACCACACGACATACATACGCCACACATCCATTGCATTGACACACAAGGATCGCACGATATACACAGGTGCTGGTGGCCAGGTGGGTGGCTGTGCTGGTGCCCCGGGGGGAGGGAGAATTGATCATGGTTGGTTTATGTATGGTTTGTTGCATCGCATCAAGTGACCAAAGCAGGCAGGCAGGCAGGCCCTTCCCCTCCTGACGCGACCCACTCCTTTCTCTCTTTTTGTTGATCCATCCATCCATCCGTGTGTCGTGCGGCACTGGTTGTCGTTGCGGCGTGGGTGGCTATCATGTTGGTCGGTGCAGTGACCGCAGAGGTGGTGTCTGTCTGTCTAGTTTGCTTGCTCCTGCAAGGCGGGCGGGGTGTGGGTGTGGTGTGGATGCGTGTCGCGCTGGTTGGCGTGTTCTCTGCTTTCTGTCTGCATGGATGTCAAGCGTCAGTCAAATCACCTACCGCACCGATGGTATTTAATCAGTGTGCAAACATGACTGTATTCTGGGTTCTCACTCACTTCATCGCTCACCCGAACCCCCCAGCATTTGTAATTGAAGGCGACCGACCGACCGACCGACTAGTGCTCAGTTTCTCCCCGGCTGGCTGCATGCGTTTCACTCATGGGATGGATGGCTGCACCGAATGAGTGTTCACCGCATGGCTGACTGCATGGCTGACTGCATGGCTCCATGACTGGCTGGCTGGATGGATGCGACTGACTAACTGTTTTGGTAACACGTGCCACCGCACGAGTGGTTGGTTTTGTGGCTGTCTGTTTTGCCTGTCGTGCCTGTCTGGCTGACAAGTCACATAAGGGGAGGGAGGGAGGGAAAGGGGTGTAAGGGGGCGGTGTTTCTGTCTGCCTGCTTGGCTGGCTGGCTGGGCTAGCATGGATGGATGAATGGATGGATGTGTGCGTGATTTTGTGCTTGAGTGAAGGGCCGTGACGGGTGGATGGGATGGCGGCATGACCGATAAATACACAGATAGTGAAGGGCATCCGCATGCGTGTGTGTGTGTGTGTGCGTTGTGTCGGTGGTTCGGCGCACGCCGCGCCACACATGACAATGCCCTCTCTCTCGCCCGGGTGAAGCGTTGAAGCGTTAGGTTAGTAGATGTACCTAGCTTTAGGAGGAGCTAGCATGGCAGACAGACAGACAGGACGGGACAGGACACAACGACTATCGTCTCAATCAGTGAGCAGTGCCTCCCATCGATGGATGGCATCCATCATTCTCACTCATGCCGTCGACAACACTCACTCAGCTCACTCATAGGCACATTGGCTGTAGCCATTATCCCTCGCTAGCTACTTGTCTTCTTTGTCCCTGCGTCTCGCTTTGCTCGAAATTCCCTCATGCACTGCCTGAGTGAATGGTGGGGGACCAAGCAAGCAACACAGACGATCTCACACGACTGCACCAGTGAATCCTTCCCCCTCTCGTCTCTCTCACTTGTAATGTTCGCGGACCGCCTCGCAGTCGTCAACAATGCCGCGCAGACCCATCGGATGACTGCAGAGTGACAGGAAGACAATCAAGCTGGCACTCACTTCTCACTCTGGTTCCTCTGCAGTGACTGACTGGAGGGGATCTCACTTCTTCACGCAGTTGAGGTAGGCGTCCTGCACATCACACAACACCCACCCAGATGAACGAAAAGTGCATTTCTGTGTCGCAGTGTGTATCTGTCAATCGTATCGTCGGCCGTCGGTGCCGTACCATCTCGGCTCCACAGGGATGGTCATCTCCTCCTTTCTGCGGAGCAGGCTGAGGAGGGTCTGCGGCTGATCCCGGCTCTTCTCTTCTAGATCCTCCGGTTCCCATCTCGAGCAACTCCCGCTGCGAATGATGCGAGCTTTTTGGGGCGAGCTTGGAGAGTTTGAGTCGCGACAAGACAGCGCGTTTTTGTTGGTGAAGACATCGTATAGATATAGATAGAAGAAGTGAATTGTTTGCAGAGCAATCGCTGACATGTCTGCTTCCGCTGAGCAAGAGGACCCCTCTGCCGCTGCGGGGAGCAGCTCAGCGAGTATGGACGTCGACACGGCCGAGGAGGTCGGTGTCGCCAAGAACACCACCGTCACAGAGGTCGCCGCGGCGCAGCAGGCGGCCTCGAGGGCGGAGGAGGACGAGACGATGGGTGGATTCGGCGTTCCCACGTTTGACGACGTACGACCGGCCGTCCAGGCAGGGGGCGCCGCCGCAGCTGCCGCATCGTCGTCAGCTGCCAACCAGGGAGTGCCCGACTTCGGTCCGGCGGAGGATGGGAATCTCACGCGAGGGATGTCAGGTGCGGAGGGAGACAGAACGGGTGCGACACAACACCGCGCGCGCGTATCGGTTTGTCTGTGTGGCGGTTCAGGTATCAGTCTCGGCAACGGTGTGACCACTGACAACCTGCGGCTGACGTCAGACAACCCCTCGGCCCGCAAGGTGATGCGTCTCCTCTCACCCGACTCGCCCGTGCACACCTTCAACCCCGCCAACCAGCCCAAAGGCCTCAACTTCACCCTCAGCGGCTCCATCTTCGATGCACTCCCACCCCTCCCACCCGCTGGGTCGCCTGGCGCCGACGGACCAGCCCGGATGGCCTCCCCCCAGGCTCCTCCGTTCCCCTCCCTGTCGGGCGACGGACCAGGCCGGATGGCCTCTCCCTCGGCCCCTCCATTCCCCTGCCTGTCGGGCCAGAGCAGCAACTCACCCAAGCCCACTGGTGGGGGCGCCATGCCTGCCACGAGCAGCTCATCGGGCAACCCTGGCGACGGGGAGGGCCGCAGCAGTGCTTCCCAGAGCCCGGAGGGGGATTTCAAGACATATGCACACGGTGCGGAGGACACAGACAGTGAGCCGGAGAGGGAACCGAGCGACAGTGACGCATCTGTGTCGTCTGACTCCTCTTGCTCCTCCTCAGGGGTGGGTGCGCCGGTGAACCAGCCGAGTGGCGGCAACCTGAGCGTCAACTACATGCAGGGCGGCAGGCCCTTCAGCTACACACAGCCGCCCACGGCTCAGTGGCCGGCGGCTCCCCAGTTCCCCGGCTCGTCCAGCGCAGCTGTGGCGGGCCGCATCCGTTCGAGCGAGACTGAGGAGAGCAATAGTTCCAGCAGCGACCACCCCATGGGTGGTGCCATCGCACGGTCGCGCCACCCTGCCGCCGCCGCCGCACACATGACCAGGGCGCCCCTCATGCCCATCATGGAGGGCGGGTCGAGCTCATCGGCAGCAGCAGCAGCGGCTGCAGCTGCAGCTGGCAGTGACGATGCCGGCCCGTCGCGGCATGACCTGCGGCCGCGGTCAGCCCGCAACCGCAAGCGCAGTCGTCCGGGTCGTTTGTATGAGGACGAGGGGGAAGGGGAGGCTGAGGGTGGTGAGGAGATGGGCGATGACGATCCTGAAGATGAGGACGCCGACGAGGATGAGGAGGACGAGATGGATGAGGACGAGGAGGACGACGAGGAGGATGACGATAGCGGCCCGTCGTACTCGTGTGGCCGTGGCGGCGGCCGTGGGCGCCGCGCCAACGGCCTCGGCCAGGTGGGGCCGGCGTTGGTCAAGGAGGAGTTCGACAGCGACGACGAGAACGAGCGCAAGATGGCGGGCAAGTACGGGCTCAAGTACCCCAAGGTGACGACGCCCCTGGCCGTCATGAACGACATCTCAAACATTGACGAGACGCTCCTCAAGCGGGTGCCCGACTACTACGAGGGCATCAGCTTCGGCCTGGGCGAGGGCGGGCGGGAGCTGCTCAGGAAATACATCAAAATGACTGGGTGAGTGGATAGGATCCGATCCAACACACCACACATCCATCCATCCATCCACGGTCATCTCATCTCTCTGTTGGTGTGGTGTCTGGTCTGGTCTGGTCTGGTCTGGTGTGTGCTTATCTATCTGATAGGTACAAGGGTCGTGCGCTGCACAGCACGTCGATCCCCGAGCTGCTGGCGCTGGCGCGCAAGGTCAACATCTGGAACGTGGCCATCCGCATCCACCTCGAGTACAAGGCCTTCATCCCCCTCTCCAAGTGCCACTTCGACATGCGCCAGTACAAGGCGTCTCTCGCCGAGCGCAGGCGCGAGAAGAACCGCACCAAGGCGCCCCTGGCGCTGGTGACCAACCAGGCGGGCCGGCCGACCATAGCCTACCAAGAGGGCATCCAGCTGCCTTTGGGAGGGGAGGGGCGGAAGCAGCTCCTGGCCAAGCTCAGACAGCGACACGACATGGACCGGGAAACCATGGACGAAAAACTCGCAAAGTGAGTGAGGGGCTGAGGGGAGGGGAGGGGCGTCACAACAACACGCATTCACACATGCATCTCTCCCTCTCTCTCTCTCTCTCTCTGTTTGTGTGTTAGGTATGGTTTGCGGTATTCGGCGATGCGCGACGCGACAGTGGCGATGCTGCTGAAGATGGCGTGGGCGGTGGGCCTGTGGGACGAGGCCGTATCCCTGCACCTGCTCAACCAGAGCAAGAAGGGCGAGTCGCGCAAGAACGCCAAGACCAACTACCACAGACGATCTTCCGGATGATCAACCAATCGGGTCATAGAAAGACACTGGACGACACGTACAGCTGTGGGGAGAGGGGAGGGG